ATCCATTACTGGTCGCGAAATATATTATTTTTCCCCGCGCTAACACTGGCCACTCGCGCGAAAAAAATTCTGGCGAAGCGATTTGCTCACGCTATCAGCGTGCACCATCGAGATTTTGAGCACGCTTACAGAATTTGATTGCGCGGCTCTGCTAGCTATGTTATAAATTGTTAATTGGTTCATGCTTTAGCGTGCACTGTCGAGTTACGGAGCGCGTGGGAAGTTGGACTGTTGTGCGGGAGGTCGAGGGTTCGAGCCGCGGCCGGACCAACACTCAAGGTCTTAAAATAATTGAGAAGAATATGCTGCCTTTCTATAATATTAAGAAACGGTTAGATATTCTAGTGTTTTCGGATAGGGCGAATAAATGGAGGTCCCGTCTCCTGCAGGGTTAGGTGTAGGAGACGTTAATTTCCCACGCACGAGATTACTGTGTGATGGATGCCCTCTGAAGTGGGATGGGTGGGTTACTGGGCCCACAGTGATTGGCACAAAGCTGTTGCGGTGTCCCTGCCTGTCGGCAAATCTTGTAAATCAAATCAAACATGAACCAATATAGCCTGAGTATCACGCGTTTCTGGGAGCGTTCCTCTCCCCTAGCCCCTTAGGAAGGCCTGGCACTCAGGCCATAACCAATATTGTTAAATTTACAATTATTTATCTACTCAGGGATGCTACTCATTACCAGACTCTTCGCTCAACGCATCTAAGGTTAAGGGTAACGTGAGGCCCGAACATGGCGGCCACTTCGCGCTCGGGAATGCTAGAAATTTTCACCAAAGATGGATGGAAACGGGTGTTAGCCACACTCGATGACGATGTTTTTACTCTGAATGTGGAAGATAGCCCTGTTGTTAATGGCCAACCGCCTTCACCGAGCTCCCCTCCTCGTTCACCAGAAGCGAACGACCATGTCGAACCACCGCAAACCATAGCAGATCAAATCCGAACTGTTCGAGTCATAAAACAAGAAGTCGGCGGCTTAGGAATTAGTATCAAAGGTGGTAAGGAAAACAAGATGCCTATACTTATTTCGAAGATTTTCAAAGGATTAGCTGCGGATCAAACGGAAAGTTTATACATAGGAGACGCGATTTTGGCTGTAAATGGAGAAGACCTCAGAAACGCTACCCACGACGAAGCTGTAAGGGCGCTGAAACGTGCAGGGAAGGAGGTCGATTTGACTGTGAAATATGTGAAAGAAGTCACGCCTTACTTTCATCGTACGGCGGAACTTAACGCTAATGCTGCTGCAAATGCAAGTACAAACGGCGAAGGACAAGCAGCTTCAGAGAGCAAACCGAATTGTGTGGAAGTGAAGAAAATGCCTCTCAAGTTATGCTTCGTTACGAAGTATGTTTCACCCAAGATAGAAAATCACGGTAGAACTTTCGAACTTTACAATCCGGACGCCAGATCTGCCTGCATTCTGCGAGGGAAAGACACGTCGTCGGCGAGTCAATGGTTCACGGACATCCATACAAATATAACACGGCTCATCGCTCCAGGTATGCATATCATGTCATTTTTGCTTCTTCGCCAATTCTTGCGTGTCCTTTCGCGCAAAATATCAGGAGTTTTTCAGCAATGGTCTCTATTTCTTCGCCCGCTTTGGTACTTAACGCGGCAATTATTGACTCCAGGCGGGGCGAGTGAACTAATGCACAGATTTACACTGAAATAAAGAACATTTATTCTAGCTATCGAATTCATATTTTATATCTTCATTCTTTCGTAGTAAATCAAGTTGTAGTTGTCATGTGAAGAAGATAAAGATACCAATTTTTAATACTTAGGTTTAAAGTGCAACTTTTCAAAAATTTTTAGTATCTATTTCGAAAGTGCTTGAGTATTTCGTTCCTATTCTACAACTTCAAGTATTGCCTTCCTGTATTTGAATGATAATTCAGCGAACAGCTGTCTGGATAGTTGCAATTTTCATTACCGGCAGTTCGAAGTGGTCCGCATTGTTCGCGGCTTGTCGCTATTGTTTGAATCATGTATAAATTTTCAATGGTCGTAAACAGTCAAAACATTTCTGTCGTTTAAAATGGCTTGTTTACGGAACACGAATAGGTTATAAAGACCGCTTTTTTCAGGCACTTTGTTGTAGCTGAAAGTTTGAATTTTTAATGGTGTTATATTGAATTGGAAAAAAACGCGCCTCGCATATTCGCGCAGATTGTAAAACACATTAAAAATACATTGCCACATAGTCTAGTTACGCGCCTTAAGTTTTAAGTTTAATTTAAGCTTGATCGACCAGAAAATCAATTTTGTTAGTATGCAAATTTAGATAAGCCAATTCAACCGAAGTTGAGAATGATTTTTCCACGATGTGACATTTGTGGCCATTTGCCAAGAAAGCTCCTGGAGATTAAAAGTGTAATTTATAAGAATAACAAATGCACTCTTTTTCAAATCCACAGACAGTCGTAGATACATATATTGTGCTTGTTACTGATACATATGAAAAATAGGATTTGTCTAAAATCTAATAATAGTAATAACTCTTTTTTTAAGGTGGGGGGGCGGGGCAGGCCAGGTTTTGCATGGAACTGGATGGTTTTAAGTTTCTCCACTGCAAAGTAACTCATGTGGAGGTAACAGCTGTATTTGAATGCCTTCCTTTAACTTTTATCTCCAGAATAATTTATAACTAGTCGCTGTTTTTCAATCATCGTGACCAAGGAGTGACCAATCCTTAACTTCTCTGGGCAATGTCATTACATTCTCAACCAGACAGGCTTCAAGAAGAAAGGAAATATATATGCAGGGGAAGATTTGTTTAAGTTAGCATGAAATTCTTAGAATTTCAACTTATATATGACCTGAATCAAGGAGAGTTATTTACTTACTTTGTTGCGTTTACATCAGATTTAGTTTCTCTGGAAATCCAAACCATACATTTGCAGAAATAGAGAGAGCTTACTCATTCTTAAGCATTTAACCACTCCCATGATTTGCTTGTTAATTATCCCACACAGCTGCTACACATTTCCTTGTAAATTAGTTACAAGATTTTGGTGTTAGACCAAGATAACTCTAATTGAGAAGTTTGAATTTTCTCATTATTTATGGAGATTATAGAGGGAAGTGACCAGCCAATCCCTTTTGAGAGTATAGATATCTTATTCGATGTTTTGCTGTGTAGTATCCCTGAGTATTTTTATGAGTTGTGCTATATTTTGACGAGCATGTAGGGTGAGTCAAAATACAAATGACATGCTAAATTGTTATTTCAGTGCAGTCAAATTTTTTGGATATTTATTCATGGGGAGTGTATTACAGAAGTATGCAAAGCAGAACAGAGTTGGCGCATTGTTTTGTTGCTGTTTCTACTTTCTTGAATAAATGATGAAATTTCATCGTCATTTAACTTCTTTTCTTTGTTCCATTTATCTAATAAACTTGGATCAATATTTGCCACCCATTCTGACTATTCATCATCAGAAAAATAATTGAAACTGTTTGTCATTTTTTATGTAACTTCAATCCAATTTGTCACATGTGCAATGTAAGGAAACCTGTCTAATGGGTTCTCTAGAGCACAAATACCATGTGATATTTGTACTCGTCTTGGGCCTACTTTTTATTAGTTCTTTCTTTGTATTTTTGGCAGCCATTGAGGAGGTGAATGACATGCTCAGTTCTAACACAGGATATCGTGAAGTGCGAGCCATGGGCTGGCTTAGTGAACAAGTTCATCTTGGTGGTGACAGCTCCCACACAGAATGGAAACCTGTGTTTGTTGCTTTAACAGAAAAAGACATGTTGTTGTATATGGCTGCTCCTTGGTCGCGAGATGATTGGAGTGCACCAGTCATGAGCCATCCACTGTTGGCTACAAGGTGGGTGACATTTTGATGTACATAGCAATGTTCTGGCTGCTAAACTGTTGTGGATTTTGTGTTTTTCTTTTGTATCTTTTATAGTAGTTCAAGGCATGTTAGAGTCAGACTGTTTTGATGTTAGAAAAATCCAAACAACGTCATATTGTGACATGAAAACACATGTTTTTACTTGCCTGACAATAGAAATGTGACAGATGAATGTATGCTATTGTGGGAATAACTCTATTAGTTATTTGGTAAAGATGTACCTTAGCGTTGGATTGGTAGCTAAGGAAAGAGCTTGTTATTTAAGATTAGAACTGGTCTGATTTAAATGGAAATCCGCTAACAAAATTACAGTCGACGGTTGAAACTTTTTCAAACCTTTTTTTGTTGAGAAGAAAGGTTCAGATATCAAACAATTGTATGTACACTATTTAAATATTGTTTGTCTACCTTGAACAAAAAGTCACTAGCCAAAAATCCAGCTGGCAATCAACTGTTTCTTGGCTGGTAGTTCACAAACAGCCCTAAAGCATGAAATGAGTTTGGAAAGCTACTGATGAATAATCTTTTGTCGCATTGGTTTGCAGACTTGTACATTCAGGACAAGGTAGTGACCAAGTCCAAAATGAACAAATGACCTTCGGAACACGAACTGGAACTAGAAAAGGAGTAGAGGCACACATGTTTAGAGTGGAAACTCCAAGAGAATTGGCCAATTGGTCACGGAGCCTGGTTCAAGGATCTCACGATGCTGCCACGTTGATCAAAGAAATTAACTGTGGTAAGTAACATGCAAGTTATGAAAAAAAAAGTAATATGATTAACCGTTTGACCCCTAAGAGTGATTTTCATCCAATTTCTCCTTACAGTATCATCCCTGAATCACACATTGGGGTCAAGAGAATAAGAATGATCATTTTCTTAAGAGGTTCTCTTTGTCAGCATCTTGCAGAATGTATAAGAACAGTATGGAGAATATGCATACTGATGTTAGGGTATAACGGGTCAAAGATATTAGAATCAGGAATAATAATAATAATAATCAAAGTTTCCATTAGTTTTGATAGTTAAGGTTCCTTGGGACCCCCAGTTCCAAAAAGTTGGGGGTCCTTTTAGCTTTTTAGGGGTTCCCTGCCTTTTACTAAAATTTGATTTTATAGTTTCTAACAGAGGCAAAAGCCAAGATCAGGTGTTAACACTATTAATAGAGCTTTAATTTTGGAATAAAGTGTGCCCATGTTTCTTAACACTAACCATTTGTTTTTTGGTTGAATCATATTTTAACCATTGAAACTCCTCCAACCATTTAGGACAAAATTTGTGTTTCTTTACTTAGGTATCATCTCGCAGATCTGTATCACTTCCAGGTTTCCCCTTGCGAATATCGAATATATTGAATAAGCCCTTCTGAGTAGACATGCTCTTGACCATGACAAAATGGCGGATCAAAGGACCTGCCATGATGATCGCAGTAATTCTTGGGTAGAGCCCACCAGACCCAGTCTCCTAACTAGTCGGAACCTTTTTCCTGCATCCCAAGGACGCACATTGGCAAAAACTATGCATCCTTTTCATTTTTTGTGCGTTAATGGGAACTCAGATAATAGTAATAATAATAATAATTACATTTATATAGCACAGACCTCTACATGGATATATTCAGTTGCGCTTCACAATATTGTCAAAGTTAAAAAAAAAACGAGGAATAAAAAAGGGTGAAGAGGAGAAGTTTTGGATTTTGAAATATTGAAACTGTGGGGATTATTTCATGCAGGAAAGTCATTATGAAATTTGAAAAAAGTTACACCGTAAAACAAATGAAGTGGACGAATGTTTTTTAGGCAGATCAATGTACAGTAAAATTATTTGTATTTTGATAAATTATTCAGAGGACAACACTTTTGTAAAATCACCTACATGTAAAACGTTAAGGAATAAGCTAAACAATTGTATTAGTGGAGTGGTCTTTCAAGAAGAAGGTATTTTGATGAATAGCCAAGCTAATTCAAATAGTTAAACAATGTGCAAGGCAGGAAATCACACTGTTTTCCCACATCCTGGCTGTTATCTACGTCACCATTTTCAAGGCCCTCCTATTAGTGTTGTCAGGTGTCTGTCTATTCAATGGTATTCATCTGTACTTCTAGTCAGGGAGACCAAAATTTTGAAAGCTATTTTTCTGATATGGTGAATAAGCTAGTTTAATTTTTTTTCTAGCTGTGACTTGGAGAGATCAAGAGGCACGTTTAACTGTGCACTTTGAAAATGGGTTCACCCTCACAGATGCACGTGTAAATGAAGGCAATGGTCGCTCTCAGGTCTTATGGTATTTTCCATTTGAGAAGCTAAAGCGCTCAGCAGATGATGGACAGAGAATGTTGTGGTTAGAATTTGGAGCAGATGAATCTGATCAGGTATGGTTTCATTTTTAGCAAATTTTACTTATTTTGATAATGTAGCAACTGCCTCACAGGGAAGGAAATGGGTGTAAGAAAACTGATGTTGAAAAAACCACATGTCTAACACAATCATGGTTGGTTTATTCTACTGAGGTAGAGGATCGGTGACAAAACTGTACTAGAGATTTGAAAATAAGTCTTAATTAAACTTAGGACAGAACAGGAATGTCAGCGAGTGAATGGAACTTGGGGTTTGGCATGAAAATTCTCCTTTCAAGCAAATCTATAGGCTTGGTAGCATTCTATTTAATGGTTTGCACCACATTGAGCTCCAAGTAGGTCTCGTATCTTATTGATAGCATCATGAGATACATAACCCAATTCAAATGGCAGAAATGAGGTTGTAGACAACCCTTCCTACCTTATTCTAATGATTGTCTTAATGGATGATGTATTTCAACCATGTTTCTTTATTTCCAGGAGTTAGATTTAGAACTTGATCTCCATGGCTGTCCCAAACCTGTGGTATTTGTTATGCACACCTTCCTATCAGCAAAGACAACTCGCCTTGGACTTTTTGCTTGAGTTGTGTGGTGAGGAATTTAAACTCTAAACTTCTCTACTTGGTGGTTCAGTTGATCCTGTAGTAGTGGAGAAGTAGATTTCCATCACAAGCAACTACTCTTTTCTAATAATATTCCAAGTTACATCTGCAAGATGTATGTGTGAATGATATAAGTACTATGGTTAGATCTGCCAAATTGAGATTTTGTCTTAACTTTTCACTCCAAGACTGATGAAGAGATAATTTCTCCTTTCAATATCAAAACAATATATCAAGCAGCCAAGTAAGGAGAATTATATGATCTGACACCAAATTCTCAGAACAAACTTTATAAGAAATGTTTGGCAGACAGTAGGAGAATTTTGTTGAGATATTGGGAGTGAAATGGCTGAGAGAGTAATAACTATAGATGTTTAATTAGACAATGTTGGAACTGCCCTTTTCAGCTTTTGCCTTTAAGTAAATTTGATTTTGTGGGGAAAAAAAAAGGTGTTGAGCAAAATGAGAGTGGTATTTTTCTGTTTGTCCATTAGAATTCCGAAAGACCAAATGAAAGTTCTGCTAGAGGGATTTCTGGGTTCTAGAATATTATCTTAAGCTTATTGAATTTATATAATTATATTCTATTCATCAGTTATGGGGGATGTATAAATCCCTGGTCAAAAGTTTATATTACTGGTTCCACTTTGAGCCAGTGAATCTGCAATATTTTTTCAAAGGCCATAGAAATCTTGCAAGGTTTATAATTGTTTTTTTTTTTTTAGCACTGTGGTGTGTAAGGATAACTTGAATTGCCAAACTGAAGTTAACTTGCTCCTATAAAGTTCAATAATGTATTTGGAAAAAGTACTAAAATGGCCATTTGAGAGCATGGGCTATAACAGTTGGAATTTTATATAGTGTACTGTGGTACTTGAGGCTGGAATCATTTCTGGGATTAAAAAAATTGGACATTTTTCTTGCTAATGATTGCCACAGTTTTTTAAAGGTATAGGAATCAGTAGTGAGATGATATTTTTTATCATGTAGATGTGCTGGTAGCTATATTTAGTTACCAGTGATAATGAATAGATCGTTAGTTTTAGGGTTTTCTCTTTGAAATTCTTGTCGATTTGAAATATATCATTTCTCTGAAGGATGGCTTTGGTTTCCTTCACTATTGATGAAGATATTTTTTAGAGAAGTGGCACCTTTGGATGAAGAGGTGGTTGTGCATTATAAGCTTTTTCGTAGCAGTTAGTAGGTGATAGAGGATTTTTTTAATGAAAATATATCAAATATATCTTAAATTTTCTGTAGGCATGGGGAAATTTGTGGCATTCTCTGTCCCTGCCAGTGTATTGTCTTGCAGAATGATTACTGATATTTACCTGTAAGTGATTTTAAAGAAAATTAAAATAGTTATAATTGTGATAATTAATTTCCCACTGACTTGCTCCGTACAATCCTGGGGTAAAATTTGGGCTTGAAGTACTCTTCAAGCCCTCTCTTGGAAATGACTTTATGCTTAAGGTAATTAATGGTAAAATGCAAGTAAATAATAATTTTCCCTTGTTGGTAAAGTGATTGGCTTTTGGCCAGTGAGATAATTTGTTCTACATTTGTATTTAGATTTGAACTGTAAGTAATGGTGATGTACATGTAGTTTCCAGGGTAATTATTGCATTTTCAAATGCTGTGACATGTAGGAGATGTAGCATTCCTATTTTATTACAGAGTTCTCTACATAACCTGAACAGGCCAATTTACCAAAGACTGTGACATCCTCTGTATGGCATGGATGAGAGCATCATATTTTGAAGTCAGTCCTTATCCCTTTACACCCTTACATCAGTGTCCATATTCTCCACACTCTTTTGTACACATTTCCTTTGGTCTCACAAGGAGAATTTGTTCAACAATCAAAGCATATGTTGGCAATCATTTGCTTTATTCTCATAACCTTGATGAATGAACCAGAAGTAAAATTGTAAGGAGAAATTAGATAACGATAAATTAGATGCTGGTCACTATTAGGGTTTAAAGGTGTAACTCATTGGCTGTTTGGTTGCTAATTATGCACTGACTTTTTACATACCTATTGCCGTATTCATTGAAAGTTAGAAACACATCAATTAAAGTATTTTTAGACAAAAAGTTGCTGTGTTCATTTCATTTTTATTAATGTTGAGGGGGTGTGATAAGTTTTATATTCAATGGGGGCTTTGACTTGGAGGTGAGGGTACTGGAGTTTTAATCTGGTTCATCAAACTTCTTTCTAGATTTTCTCTGTTTCTCTCAGTTTATTGCACAGGCTTCTGTCTTCTTCATCACTAGGGTATGTTGAATTCAGGGGACGCCCACAGTGCAGGATTCATATTTGGGGTAGCAATTGTACTTCCACTGGCCATGTGTGACCTTGTTTTAGTTTGGACAGAGGGGGTGGGGAAAGGTGAGAATTTCTATTCCCTCATCACCTCACTACTCCTTCCTTATGACCAATGCTCACCCCCCCCCCCCCCCCTTGGCACAGGCTTCTTTTTTGTCCTCAGACTTGCTGCTGTAATGAATCAACTCCAACCTTGTTCTCAGGGTCTCTTATCTTCCCGCCCCCCAGAGCGAGCTCCAGGGGGCAGGAAGATGAGAGACCCTGGGAACGAGGTTGAATCAACTCTGGCAGCCATAATTTTCACTGAGAAAATGCTCAGTAATTGCTCTCCAAATATATGAGGAGTTACACAAAGTTAAATCACAAGCAAGAGGTTATGTTCATGAACAAGAGTTGAAATGGTGCTGTTCATTGTAACATATTTTCAAATTTAAAGGAATTCTGTTATGGTAGCCTTGCCTCAATGTGTCAAAACACAGTTTTTATAATTTCAAAAGTATCAATGACAACTATGGTTTGTAGATTAAACTACATTAAAGTGGACATGAGGAAATGAGTTGGAGATCTCTAACAGGAATATCCTCAAAAAGGATGTTGAAACAATTTTATTTTGCTAAGCAATTTTATAATAGATGAGTAATCAATCTTTTTTTGGATCATATCAGGCATATTTTGCTGAGGTGTTTTCATATTTCTTTCCAAGCAATTACAGAACAAAAAAAAAGTAGCATGAAAATAAATATCTAATTTTGAAGAAAAATGAAAGCTATCTATTGGGTATATAAATATTTTGTGTGTTTTCATTTCCCAAGAAAAGGTAAAATTTTTTTTTAATAATGAATGTTGATGAAATGAAACAAATCGCAATTTTATCAAATCCATCCAAATCATATTTTGTATTCTTCATCATCTTCAACGAAACATTCATTAATAGTGCTGACCTGACGGGCCTTTGTTTTACATTGATTTCTTGTCTCTGAAAAGTCAAACAGTTTTTGGCAGAAATTAATTAACGAGCACTTGAGGTGCAGACCTCTCCCAATTTGGAATTGTTGATAAATACGTTCTAAGATAATTTATGAAATTTAATGTACTTTGTAACATAGATCCATGAGCAAGACCTGTGGGTTTGAAATTTTTTGCTACATAAGTGCATTTTCATGCTGTTTGTGTGGAAGCTAACTCAAGCTGTGATTAAGTGATACACTTCAGCTTATTTTGCTACATTTGTACACTAAATTTATCTCATAGATTTATGTTGGATTCTGTCATGCCCAGGCAAATTCCTTCCTCATTTAACAGCTTTGCACTTGCAAAGTAGTTACCCTAAAAGAAAAAAAAAAACCTAATAAGTGAGTTGAATCACAAAGGTTTTAGTATCTACAACTCTTGAAAAGGGGAAAGATTTTATAACCATTTTTTAACCTCTTTTATAACCTCTTGCAGCTTCACTGCATGTTTTGGTGGCCCTGTCACAGCAAACCTAGCCAGCAGAACAAGTTTATAGTGTTCACATTTTTCAGGTGAATGAAAGCAAGCATGTAGCAAGCACAAAGAGATATATTTTTTTTCACTTCTCCCCTTGAGCCTGAATTGCACGAGCCTTCATGGCCTGAAAAATGTACAAAAACTTACACCAAATCTGCAGGCTACTTGATGCTTCAGAGCATACCAAAGACATTCCTTTTGAATCATTGTTTTTTTCTAAAATGTTACTTATAAAACTTGTTTAATGATTAATGATTAAGAGTAGTGGCCCTGTAAAATGCAAACTAAAATAATTTTACATACAATTAAACATTCATTAATAGTTGCACGATGCAAAACGTGTCCTTTCATTCACAACACTGATAAAATATCGGGACCTAAGCGATCCATTAAGATCACCGATCACTTCACGTGCACCTCCACCAATGTAATATATTGCATAACTTGCACTTATTGCAAAAAGATATCCATCGGCGAAACAGGCAGAAGACTAGGTGATCGATTCCGAGAACACCTTCGAGACGTGGAAAGGAATGACAAGGACACATCGAAACCAGTCGCTAGACATTTTAATTTACCTAATCATTCTAAGCAACATATGGCAATCTGCGGTCTTTCCTTACACTTAGGTAGCACGGAAAGCCGTAAAAATCTTGAACAAAAGCTCATCTTTCAAACCGGCAGTCTAAATCCCACAGGGATCAACGAACGCTTTTCATTCCACTAATTTATTCTTGTTTTTCTCGTTGCCATGTTCCCACCAATAACGTAGCTCCATTCTCTGCCTTTAAAAGCACACACAACCCACAATTCCTCTAGTCGCTCCGACAAAGGGCTAATGCTCCAAACGTCAGCTTTTGTAATCGTTACGGTGGCCAATTTACCACTTCAACTTTGTTGATATATCCAAATTATTTTGTTACTCCCTCCGACGCAGCCCCAAACAGTTTCTTTCGAAACTATCAGCCTTTATAATTTTACATACCTTTGGAATGTATTTAGGTAGTTTGAATGGTTCATAAATACTCAATTCCTGACCTGAAATAACAAATAAAAACAAACGTCAGAATGAGCAAAGGCTTCAACAGTTGTTATCTTGCCAGATTTGACTGCTGGCCAATCTAAGTATTCTAGACGCCCCTTAAAGTAGGACAAGTGCCTTTGATACAGAGCATAAGTTCACCCTACCCTACCCCACACAACCTCCTCTCCAGCATTCTCCCCTCTGGGATCAGAGGTTTCAGGAAGGAGTCATCTCATACAAAGACTACTTTTCTCTGATCAGTTCAAAATAGTTTCACTTAAAATATTTTAGGAAAATATGCCATTCAAGAGTCTCATAATATTGATTTATTCACTGAGCATGAACTGGCATGAGATCTGAGTTCCTCAAGAATCATCCACAAAGCATGACAGCTGGCAAGAATACAGCACCCACTCACCTTCATGCATTGGACAACCAAATGATGTAGCTTCTAATTTGCAGACATTGTGTTTGACATCATACAAGGTTCTGCCTTGAAATTGAGCCACTACATGCACTACACCACCATTCAAATTGACTTCTGTGGGAACAATAATAACAACTATAGTTAGATTTGTAGTAATTACTTACAGCTGCATTGGTTATACTACCACAAACACTAGAACAATAATAAGAGGATAAAAGCTTGAATTTCAATCTTCTCTTTAAAGTAAAACCACTGGCATTCTATATACTGTCATCGGCTTACGACCACCCACTGTAGTAGGTAATCAATGACTCAAAGTAAGGCTTGTCATATTTAAAGCTGAACACCAATTATGTTTGCTTTGATTGAGTTTGTCTTGCATACTAATAGAAATAACAGATCATAGATGACTGTATAAAGAATAATTAACCCGAGGATGATGTACAAGTAAGGAAATGATCTTCACAGATCAACTGAAATTAAAGAAATTGGAGTAATAAATTTTTCTAACTTGTATATCATCTGCAGGTCAAAATAAGATTGATTTCATTTAATCATGAGCACACTCCTTTGCAGGAAAGAAGAACTTTCCAAAATTTCTCTTGCTGCTATCATGTGGCCCTGTAGCCTTGAAGGTAAGAACCCCTAACTAGTATTTGGGAGGAATTTGTTAAAATACTGTAGAAAGCCTGAAGTTTTATCAGGCTTCTATAAATGCATTTCCTTTTTCACTGCAGTTCACCCTCGAGAATCATTTTGGTACGTACATTAATATCATTGTTAATAATAGTAATAGTAACAGTACCCTGCTGGCAGAGGCGTTTATTTGTTAACTTCCCCTACGGTCCACGTATAGTAACAGTGAAAATGATTACAATATATTTATAAAGGTAATAGCTATTGTCGTTATTATCTAGTAAAAATACCAATGACACCCAATACATCAGATCTTTTAAAGGTAGATAAACAAATATCAAAGACATCACTTTACTTGCTGTGAAATTTGCAACTGCCGTTCCTATCACTCTCCTCTCCGTTGGGTCATAATGGATAACAATCTTTCCGATCTTTTTCCTCACCCCATTGTGATCTGCAAATCAAAACAAAAGAGCCAACTTGGCATTTTGTCGGAGTACAATAGCACTACATATCGATGATAGTAGGGTCTCTCTCCATTTCAGTATGAACATTAAAATAAGTGTCGTTTTTGTAGCTATTCTCAAACGGCAAGGCTTGAATAAATTAAATACATGCCTCTTTTTTCTTTTTACTTCCAGTTCTACTAATTTCTGCATTTCCTTGGCCAACACAAATACATTCTTTCACATATCTTCCAAAGCTCCCTTCTACTGATCTTTAGATCCTCCCCTGCATCGTGCAACCGGAACAGTCTAAAATTTGATTGCTTCCCAAACTACCACCTACCAAGTCCACCTATCCCCTCTCTCCTCTCCCCCAAAAAGAAAATTCGATTGGGCGTTTTGCTGCACGCTTTTCCCTGATACACCATAATCAAAACCACTCAACAAATAAAGTCAAGAATCACCAGTCTTGCAAAGATTCAAGTCTGTGAAATGATTCGTGCGGGAGATATTCGAAGAAATGTTTAGTCAAATTTATAAGGCTTTGTATGGAAACGCCTTGTTTGTGCCCCTCGACGGGCACAAATATGGCGGCCGGAAGCTAACGAAAACATATGTCCTCAAGGTTTGCTAAAAACGTGAGGACTCATTAACATCTATATGAGTACTTGTTCTCATACAAGGGCAGTTCAGATTGCGAAATCTCGGTGGATGAATCACTATTTTTGACCTACGTGATGCATTTTAACATCGTGTCAAGCAAAACTCGGCAATTCAACCTTGCTTTATCACAAGACGAAAAACCCTCTCAAACTGAAATTTGTGAAAAATAAAAGTCTTCAACTGTTCTTATAACTAACTAAAGTCTCAGAAGGATTGACAGTTCCTTATTTTTTTTTAATTTAATGACGTCACGTGAAAACCAAGAATATTTCCGGTTGCGTCCGTTTTGCGTGATGAGGAGCTAGTGTGTTCTCGAACCCTGACATTGGTCTTTGTGCTACTGATTCGATTTGTAGGTTTATTTATAGTGACATTAGGAAACCACTGCCGTAGTAATTAGTTTTATAGAAGAGGAACCCACATAACAATCTTTCTTTCTGCTTCAATTAAAAAATACGGAAGATAAGATCGGGATAGTTTCGATTCATCAGATGCCGCTACTTTGGGCGCTGTATTCAAAGAGATTGAGTGGGTACGGGGCACACTGGAGGTTATCATTTTTACACGTCAACACATTTCCCTGTTTAAGAGAAAGATGAAAAAATAATCAGAAAGATAGGGCTTCTTGCATCCTAACCGTTTCCTCTGATTAAAGAAAACAACAAATATCTCTTATAGCGCTAAATAAGAGAGTAAACTTTTATCCCTCCATTCAGACTCCTGGCTTCTACACCGTCGCTCATAAAATTAGCGCCCGCAAATTTTAATTTACAAGTCTTTTATAGGAGAATTTCGATTTTCAATTCGTAGTCTATGGAGCGATCCAAAGCGTCTTGTCTCTCTTTTCCTAGCAACGTTTATTGAAGAACTTTGATTTTGACCAGATAAAAAAAAAAAACAGAAAACTCACCACAGCTGTCGTAGATGTCTCCAATAGCTCTTAGTCCGTTTGCGATAACCCATTTATCCCATACGCTACCGTCGTTAACACCATCTCCTTTCCCGTCCGCAAATTTCAAATCAGATAAATCTACCATAAGCGAAGACCACACCAGAAAACATACCAGAACTAAGAGCAAAATAACCAGAAGAGCAAGCCGCTTTTTGTAACCTATGCTCCAGAACCTCACACGAATAGAATTCCATTCTCGGCAAACGATCTCTGAGAACATCATCACGACCCGTTTGAATTTTCAGTCTAAAAGTTCAGACCGATTGCTATCTTTGGTGGATTCTAGGATGTTCTAGCTGCCATATAAATCTGAAAGTGAGTTAGCGATCGGCTTCAACAAGAAACTTGAAAGCGGCAACTTGAGTGTATCAAATTCAACTGGAAATGACTTTGAAGCCATGCGCGTTAATCATTGACAGGTTTTACGAGGGAAATCGTCTTATCTTATACTTATTAACGCTTACCTGAAACTTTTTTGTCGCTTTTTTCTTTCTCACTAGTACTTCCAAAAGCTTTTCTTCAAGATATAGGATACTTTCCTATAGTAAGGTCTTTTTAAAAATGGGAAAGAATGTTTATCGTTTTAAACAAAAAAATGACGAAGAGATGAAACCTTGACCTAAGCTTCACTACAAGCAGTTGATATATGACACCTAACAGTTCGTCACGCAATTCGTCGGTTATTTGAAAGGCAAGAAGAGAAAGATGGGAATTCGCCATAAGCTCGTCACGCAATTCGGAGCCAGGAGAGTTTCCCTGATACAGGGACTGGCAGAAGAGTGTAAGAAAGAGGCTGCAAATAATTTCACGCCAATGTGTAAGGCAATCTTTGCGCATACCTTTCTTGCCTACTCAAAATATTGTCAAAATACAAAAAAATGGCCTTGCTAGGTTTCCCCAATTTACCCCATTACTCTGGGCAGGAAAATTTTCTAAGCCATGGTCGATCTTGGCATAAGAAAAGTAAAATAATTAGAATTAATTTAAGCAATTGACCATAAAGTTCCCATACTGACACTAAATACCTTTTCTTCGCCGTTATTGGGGATGTTGTCCCAAGGCGTGTAACAACGAAAGACTGACGGAGGATCCTGTCGTGAAACACTCAAATGAACCGTGGCGAATCCTTAGACCAAATTATTTGAGATTCCAGTTTCAAGGGACAGTTATTGTTTAGGAGTGCACAATTGCGACGAGCGCGATTCCCCAAAACGAGCTGCAAAATTCGCGTTGGCTTAGTACAAAAACAATTTCCCCTAACAGAACGACCAAAGTACAAATTGAGGGGCTAGTGGCGTGATTTGACGTCAACTTACCGGCAGACCCATAAATTTGATCGAGAGAGCTTGGAAGTCCTTGACCAATCACAGTGCGAGTATTCTCAGATGGAACTGTCAAAAATTGCAAGTATCGCTGCTCTCGATTCATGATCCATCATTCTTTTTCTGTCGTTGTCAAGCTTCGCATCTGTGCGAATTGGAAACCCATTCAGGCCGAATCATGTATTTTGATTGATATTCTTTTTGCTTTGAAAAGACGAATGAGTTCTTGTGGTTTCCTTATAAACCATTACGTTTAATATCTATTCCAATTTCAAACTGAAACGGCTCTAAAGCCAAACGTATTGGGACGGCACATTGTTAAATGGTGGCCTCGACAAGTAGATCTCAGGGAGGGGGGGGGAAGGGGAAGGAGGAAAATTGAGGAGGGGGATAGGCATGGGTCGATACAGATCAAATAATCAGTTGTACAATTCCGTATTCGGTTGAACTTGAGCTTTTTTTTTTTTTTGTATATACACTTAAGCTCACTGCAAAGCTCACTTTCAAAACAATCCTGCGGTAGCCCTTAAATCTTAAGGCGTCATCGATATCCGGTCGATCAGAACAATCCGGACGCTCAAGTCACTGCACAGCACCCTATGCCTATATTTTGTGTGTTCATCGAAAAAGACAACAACAAAAAAATTGAAAAACAAAGAGAATGAAAAATAAACTAAGTTGCTTACGCCTGCAGGAAAGAAACTTGAACTAATGGCAAACGGAAACGGTAACCCCCGGTATGTCCACGTCACATCCGGACATATCTTCACCCTAACCCTCGTCGACAGATTTTGTGACCTTGATATCCCGCAGAAGGCGGACAAAAAGGGTCATAGATGTAAAATGTAGGATTTTTTTTCCCAGATATGACTGTGAAACGAGACATGTTCTTGGAACTCACACACAAAACATATTCTGCAAATGTTTGGGTACAGACGGTACTCTTCGCTAAGAGAACAAATTTGATTGCAAATTAATACATTACCTAGTTGGTATGTGCATGTGTGGCCCCAGTATTTGTACCGAATGTTTTCATTTTTTTTTCAGTCCGGAAGAAACTCCCAACCGCGAAGAACAACTTTGAAAAACCATGCTGATGAGAATGTTCCATAAGAAAATATTTGCATTTCGTTCTTCCCCCAGCGGAAGCTATGGACTTTAGAACTTTGATCACACAGACAAACTGTGCAATAAATCTCTTCACATGTTCGCCACCTGATAAATCACAGTAAACAGCAATGCGCTAAAACGATAAATGGATGCTTCTTCGCCGTGTGAGGACATTCGAAAGGGAGTGCCTCATTCGCGTGCAGCAGAGAAAGATCGTAAATTTCTTTGCACGCAAGTGGATTACAGTCTTAAAAAAACAAACAAAAACAAAACAAAACAAAAAGAATACACGTCAAAAAACCCACTCCACACTTGATGGTCACATGAGAACTCTGTAAAAGGGTGTTTTGTTCAGAAAGGAGCGAAATAGAGCACATCTCTTTAGGGAAACTTTATTATTTTTAAGAGAGTAATTCTTAACAGTGACTAAAATTGCTGACTTAATAGAAAGGCCTCTTAAAAGAAAAACACCAATAAATTGAAGTTAATTATTTGCAAGAAAACAATCCTAGCGATCTTTGAAAAAGTCTGCGAGGAGATCCTCATTTTATTCGTGCCTAGGCACGAATCTTTCTCCAAGGGGAAATGTCATGTCTTGAGGGACCTTGAACAACGCGAACAGGCGAGAGCTCAGCAAAAGGGTCTAACACTTAAAATTAGTGCCATACCCCCGGCAACCTCTCCCTGATTCGTCTCCAATCTTCTCGCGGGCGGAGAAATGGGTGCCCTGCCCCTGCTACACATATATAAAAAAACCTTTTTCAAACTATTTAAAAATAGTGCAGGAATAAGATTAAAAGTAAAAAGTTTAAAAATTTTGTTTAGAATGAAGAGAATGCAAACAACTGTGTGACAGAAAATATCAATTTACTTATAAATCATAATCTTCTGAAAGCAAATTTCACTGACTTCTTTGTTCATGAAGATTAGAATCAGTATGCCCAATCATTTAAAGATAAATTACCTCTTATTAAACAGCCAATAAGAACTTATACATCTTTCATATCAATTAGTAAGCTCATGCAAATCATTCCAACATTTTCTTCAGTGGAGAGTCATAGTTCATGATTTCCTTTCCAGGATCGATTCCATATTTCAGAAAACCTTCATCTGTAACAGATGCCCACACCATTCGTCCTGTATTGAATTCCAGTCCGATATTTCCAAACTTGTCCAAGCAAATAACACCTCCATGACCTCCTGTCTGCTCAGCCATCTTACTAATCACTTTTCTACAAGCATAACGTGGTGTCATTCCATTTTCCACACTGTACACAACATCTCTAGATAAGAGTACTTTAAGTAAGGACTCTCCATGACCAGTACATACAGCACCTGCTTGCTGATTAGCATAAGCACCTGACCCCACCAGGGGTGAGTCTCCTACCCTGCCACACATCTTGTTAGAAGTACCTCCTGGTATAAGAAAAAAGCATACTTCAGAATGAAGAAAAACACTCCTCATCGCCTTAAGGCAAGGTTATGTTAGCAGTTGAGCGAAATTGCCCATCTGGCTGAAGCTGATCTCTCCAGCCCTCTGTCAGATTCTCTTAACAGAGGGGGGTAAAAGGAGGTCCTCTACACATTTCACACACTCCAAAAATTAGAAATGATGCATCATGAAAAATTGGATATACAACTTTTTTAAGTTGAACCTTAAAAAGTTTATGTATTGCAAAAAAACAAAAAATTCCCAGTTCAAGGGGTTTCAATTTCGTATTTTCACTGGTCACTCAAATTCAAAAACACTTACCGGTAATGCTGCATCACGCAAAACCTTTTCCCCGCTTCAGTCTTAACAGTTCCCTAGCACCCATTACTACTACTGGGTGGAGAGAAGCACTGTATTGTGCCTAAGAACAAAACTCAATCACCCAGCCTAGTACAGGGTTGTAACTAAGAAATTATGCTGCCAGCTGAGATTTCAAGTGAGGTGGCTAAGTCTGTAACCTCAAACTGAAAGTGCCCATTGTGCTTTACCAAGAAACTGCCTGCCAAAAATCCAGCCAGCAATCTCCTCTCTTTCATCCAGCGAATTTCCCAGTAGCTGGTGCTTAGCATAAACCGTGCCAGTATTGAACCTGTACCTCGTGACCCAAGATCCAGCATGCTCATCATTAATCTCAACTCAGTTAGGCTTAGTTTGTATCACAACACATGTGTATGTTGTGATACAAAGTTAATTATGAATTCATATATAAATTGCTGGTAAACTTGAAGAGTCACCTATGTTTGGTCTATTATTACCTGTTGAAACAGCAACAGCAATATGGCCATTGGTATCAATGGCAACTGCACCAACTGTATCATGTTCATCAAACTGGGTTTCTGTTTTCTTCTTGTGGTCATCTTGAAGATTGGAGTCCTTGCTTTTAGAACTTGCACTTTCTTCCAGATTTTCCTGTTTGGACTTTTTCTCTAAATATAACTGCTGTGAACGATTACTGATCAACAGGCTAGGGTCTTCCGAAATGGGAAAATCAATTTTTCTTGCAAATTTCAGTGCTCCTTCCCCAGCCAGCATACAGTGAGATGTGTCTGTCATTAGTTTGCGTGCCAAAGAAATGGGATTTGCAATATTCTTGACACAGGCCACCGCTCCTTGAAACCAAAAATGGATTGAACAATTAGGAGGATGCAATAAATATTACCTAGTGGTATTGGAGAAAGATGTTGCCTGCCCCAAGTTCAGATACTGTATAACTGCCACATTCATCTGGGTAGCTACAATCAACAACAACAACAACAACAAAAAGTTGGCACATTATCTCTGAAATAAAAAAGTTCTGGAATACCATACCATCTATTCTCTTCCCCCTCCCTCCCCCCACCTGCACAATATTACATTTTGTTTTCTGTAATAGTCCAACATTATAAATGTTAGAAAGGGGTTACAGTGAAAAATGGAGGTTTATTTCAAACTTAAGCTCTTAAATACACCCTTTAGAGAGGAATGTCATCTGCCATCTACTTCTATGGTGGATTAAAGCTGCTGTTGTCCTTCTGCTTAATCAGTTGTAATAAAAGTAAAGTACCCCAATAACCTTACCAGTGTTTAAGGTTTGACCATCCATGATCATAGCATCAAGTTCAACAGTTCCTTCTTCCGTAAGGTAGCATCCTCGTCCTGCATTTAGAACTCCGCTGTCCTCCATACTACGTGTAGCTGCCTCCACTGCATCCAATGCACTTTTCCCCTGAAAACCAATTCCATAGTTTTTTCTTTATTATTATTGAATGCTGAATAAAATTTTTGTTCACCAACATCCACTAATTTCTTTTCCCCTACCCCTTCTCCGATAGATAGGGCTCTTACCTACCAAGACTGTCAACTCTGTAAGTTTACTGCAACAGCATAAACAACACCAAAAAACAAAAACATAAAACAAAAACAAAAAAACACACCACAGAATCATTTGCACCCATAACTAATAAGATTTTCTGGAAGGCTTACTTCCAAGAGCATTAGATATCCAATCTTGGCCGCTTCCTTCACAGCGGAGAGACAGGATGTTCTGCGAGGTATTGGGATTTCCCCAGCACCTCCATGAACAATGATGCACGGCCTGGAAGTTTCATCAGAATGACTCACTGTCGCTGGAAATTTTGGCATTGAAATAATAGGTTTTCACGGATGAAAGCTTCTTCTTCCGTCAAAAATCAGGATCAGGCTAGCGTGACTTGACTTTACCCATGATTCACTTGGCGTGTTTTGGAAAAAATTTCCAACATGGCAGACGATAGTTTGCAAACAGCTGAACAAGAAATTCAGGAATATTTTGATGCTGCGGTGGATATAGCACGGAAGGCAGGGCATGTAAGCTAATAAAACTTTCCTTACTACTTCTTCTTAATTGCACAATGCAAAACTAATTCATCTACGCCTTGATCGTTGTACTAACGAATAGTAACCATAATTTGGCTTGAAAATTATACACGTTGTATATACTAATTGGTTCCCCTCTTGGAGATAACTCGAAGTGGAAGTGGTTTGAAAATTCGTATTACAATTTAGCTGCATCATCTATGGGCAACTATGGGTCATCATGGTTGCCGTTTTGCAAGGAAAACAAAATTTGTTACTATTTGTAATTTATCTTTGTACTAGTTTTTAACTTAAGAGGACCCTCCTGTAAACCACTTTTGTGACGGTGGCATCCTCATTAAAGATTATAGTATTATCAGGGAAGCTGGAGATGAGACACGAAATTTCACTTTGATTCTTTTGCCAGTTTGTCTAAGCAGTTCTTTTTAATGTTTAATGGTAGCTAGCATCTTACATCAGCCAGTTCTCATGCTTTAAGTGTGATTTTCACACCAGTGGATGAAAGACTTTGACCTTAACCACATCATCCAGTATCTCATGACTAGTTAAAGATCCTGGGGCAGATCCAGGGGTGGTTCGGGGGGTTCGGTCAAACCCCCTAAATTTTCCCTCAGAACACTGGAAATCATGTTTCCAAAGACCTAATTTTGAAAATCTCAGACCCCTCAAGAGGGGGACAATTCTCCGAACCCCCCTTGACTAAATCCTGGATCTGCCCCAGAGATCTGATCGTTAATTCTCCCTTCTGGCTGCTACACATTTCTTGTACATTAGTTATGAGAATTTAGTGTTAGATCAACAAACCAACTTCTACCTGATAACTATGAGTATTCTCATTACCCATTTGTTGGATAATGTGTGGATATTGTAGGGAGAATTACAAGTTAATCACTTCTGGGAGTTAAAGGGTTAAAAAACTTGCACTCTTGACTTGAAATGTTCAATCAAAATATAGACAAGCTTAAACCAAGTTAGGATAAGAAAAAAATAAGTGATATCATGGTACTCTCCAAGAAACCTTGGATTTTGGAAGGGACAACATTGGAGAGCAGTTGAATAGAAACTTGCATGGAAACTTCAAGGCAATTTTGGAAACTTTTGGAACACATCTAGAAATATGTGACTAAGTCATCTGCAAAAAAGCAAATATCTTATGCCTTAAAAACTGTAAAAATGTCTAGATCATGCTTGGTTATTACTTATTTTTAGGGTCATTTGCTAACCTCTTGTACATAGGTGGTGTTTGAAGCTTTTCACAAGGAAAAGAATATTGATACAAAGTCATGTGGAACAGATTTGGTGACAGAAACAGACAAGTATATAGAGGAATTGATTATCAGAACCCTAAGAGAAAAATTCCCATCTCACAGGTAATAATTTGTTATTTACTTGTTAAATGGATAATGATACTATATGGTGTACCAGTAATTTACTG